TGAAAGTGTGGTTATGTTTCTTAAAGGACATAAATTCAGCTCAGAAGCTTGCTACGCATATTGTCCATTGTGCTTAAACACACGTACAAGCACTCACATACACTTTCAATGTTTCATTCATGCACTCATTCTCTCAATCATTATTTCATTCATAAAATTGCTTTGACATTTGGCGCTCGCTGTATCAACACTCGTTATTTTTACTCGTAAAAGTTCGAACAAAATTCGTTTAGTGGACAACTTTTCAGTCTGTTATGAACCTCGCGTCTGTTTACACGTTCTTTAGGGCTGGCTTTTAAGGCAAACTAGTGTTCAGTGGAAATACGAATCACATTCAATAAAACGTGAAAATCGTAGTTGATGGTGTATAATTTTTTATAATTATTTGTAATTATTTCAATCGAGTTTGAATGGCTTTCATTCGTGTTTAATTGATATTTATTAAGTGTGTTGGTATGCAAATTTTATAAAACAGACGTGCCTGTTTAAAAAACACTTCGAAGTGTATTAAATTTCATTTTTTTGTTTTGTTATAATCATTTCAATGTTAATACAATTGATTTTTGATAAACAATATTACTATGAATTCTATACAGTCATTCCAATTTCTAAATAATGACTTATTAAATGAATTATTGATTAATTAAAAAGTGTGTGGTTTTGTTAATTATAAAATAAATCTAAAATAATCCATCTCTAATGTATATTTATTTAATAAAATATATCATTTATATCTAATACAACAGCTATTGTAGTTACTATACTAACAATAGTTGTTAACTTAAAAAAAATGTAATAATAAAAAATTGAATAAAGAAATGCAAGTGCTACTAGTATTTTTATATAGCAACTTATAAAAAATTTTTAAATTTATAAATAAATTTGTAAATTTAGTATTTTTTATAAAGACTAATAAAAAATGTAAATTGATATTTTAATACACTCATATATTTTAAAATAATGATTATCATAACAAAATCAAACTTTAATAATTTAAGTAAACTAAAATCAAAACCTTAATCACAAAAATTATAATATTAAATTAAAAATTAATAATAATATTAAAAAAATTTGAAAATAACTTTTATTAATTTTTTTCGTGTATATTTTTTTTTCGGAAACCATTTAAAAGTTTTAATTATTTAATAATCTGATAAGTCGAGTAGTTAAATGTGTTTTAACGAAAGTTGGCGTTCAGACCAAATAAACTACTTTAAAAATTAGCTGTGTTAACCGGAAAAAATTTAAACATAACTTTTCTTAATTTTTTCCGTCTAAATTTTTTTTTTTCGGAAAACATTTAAAATTTTAAATATATAATATTCTAATAAGTCAAATGCTATCTTCATTATACTAGTTTAATGTGTTTTAACGAAAGTTAGTTTCCGACCTACTAAACAGCTGTTTTTTAAGTATTTTGTTGGGTTACATATTTCGACTTGAAAAACAAAAACAATGCTGGAATGAAGAATGCAAGCTCATAAAGAATTTCAAGTTCATTAAAACGTTTTAAGATCCTTGTAAATTCTTCCAAATTCAATTATGAAAGCACAGTAAACGTATTTTAACGAATAAAAAGTATCTGCCTGAGCATAACATAAGGGGAGGAAACTATAGGGTTCTAAAACTAAATATAATATTAAATTTAAAAATTCGTTAATAACATGGCAAATAATAGCGCTATCTCTAAATATATGAAAATAGAAGACTTTATTTTATAAAAAATTTTGTTATGCTATAATAATTATTATTATATATTTATTAAGAATCAAGTACAAAAAACTGAAAAACTGTATAATGTTTTTAAAGAAATTAAAAACAGAATGGTTTCGAATAGTACTAAATTACAAAAACAAAATTTTTTATTTATTTTCAATTAATTGAATAAATGTTTAACAAATGATGTGAAGACTCAATGATATGCAGGCATCTGTATACAATTTAACCACACACCAATAGAAGAAAATCAAACTGTCTCATTGAGATGGTAGAGAGAGTATCACGTAGAGGTATCAGTTTTATAGTAAATTTACTTACAGTTAATTGTTTTTTCGTTAACTATGCTAGGAGTCTAACTCTCCGTTTCAGCCATAATCATTCTAGGAGACTTAATCTCTCTTTCAACCATACCAGCCGCAGTTGTGGAGAGGACAATGAAAGTGCCTTTCATCTGCACTGTTTCTTTGTTTATAAATTATACAATTAAATGTGGATATGTTATATAACTCCTAATGATATATCGCAATTCATGCGAAACATATCCGACATTTACAAATTTTTTTTAAACTTTTATTTTTTTTAAAAAAATCATAATGTTAATATTCTATTTCCATCCTTTTTTTTTAATTTTATTATATAATAGATGTAACACTGTCATTTTTTTTATTCTATAAATAAAGTACATAAAATTACAGTGCAAACTAAACATTTATTTATACTGAGTTAAAATGATTTTTTAGATTGAATGTAATATGCAAATTGTGTTTTGAAAAGCTAGTATTTGACAGTATTTGATGAAGTACTAAATGATTTATTTAAACACTAAGACTGTTTTTTTTTTGTTATTTTAATTTATCAAAACAACTTATTTGCAAATTAACTAATATGCAAAACATTTTATTGGTAATTTTAAAAAATATGTGCAAGGTGATCGATATAATAAATAGTAAGCTCACCAAACAATTTGCAATTTTAAAAACATTTTATATTAAAAATATTCAATATAATGAAACTGACTATATAATCGAACGAATAAAAACTAAAACTGTTTATTTACATATATACAAGCGTTGGTAAAAATTTTTAATGCATTTAAAATACAGTCAAAATAAAATCACTCATACGCCCAGTGGCCTTGCAAAATGCCTGAAACTGATATGATTATAAATTAGATATGCTGTAGCCAATATGATTTCAGTTTGAAACTGAAATTCAATAGTTCATGATTACAATTGATTTGCATAATTACGATTGAAATCTAAAGCAGTTGAATTTTTAAAAAATCTTGCAAAAGTTTCGTTTTTGCATACTAAATTTATCGGACACAAAGGGAAGCAGCATAAAATATTAATAAAATTGATTTAAAGAAGTATCTGGCATCGAGTAAATACTAATTTTATTAGTCATGAGTATATTTTTAATATTTACTGAAATACAGATCTTTAAAGAGTCAAAAAAGACCTTTAGTCAAAAAGCCTTCAATATCTTGAATATAGTTTATCCAAATAGGATTTAATATCCTTTCATTGGGTAAATAGTCATACTTCAATGATTTAAAAAATAGTGGTAGTTAATTTCTAAATTTTTATCTAATTTTTCTTACAATTTCTGTATAAAATTTTTTCCCGTTTTTTTTTATTTATAAGATGTTGCAAAATATTGCATATAAAAAATATTTCTTCTATCACGCTAAGTTTTCCTGTCAATTAACATTTGGAAAAAATAAATTTAAGGTTTTTTTATTTTTTTTAAGTAATTATTCTAATTAAACTTTCGTGTAAATAACACTAAATAATTTTTTAAATCGCGTGATTTAAATACAAAATATTTTCCAGCCAAATATTTTTATTTTCTAAAAATAAATATTACATCAATATACATTAAGACCGAAAAGTTTTCGGAAATTCTCATTTAAAATTCGCGCGCTGTATATTTTTCGATATTTTAAGTTTATGTAGTTTGGCAGCACTGTCCTTAATTACTATGCCAAAAATGAGCGCGATCTGTCAGACAGTTCGTTTACGGCAGCTGTTGAAACCAGTTCACCTCAGTAGGGCGTTGCGAAAAAAACAATGGAAAAAAATATTGAACAAAGAGTTTGCATCAAATTTTGTGTTTCGAACGAAATTTCGTGTGCAGAATCGTTGCGAATGCTACAAAAGGCTTATGGGGAATCAGTTTTATCGAAAACTCAAGTTTATGAGTGGTACAAAGCCTTCCAGGACGGTCGTACGACCGTCGAAGACATTTCGCAACGCACTACTGAGGTGAACTGGTTTCAACAGCTGCCGTAAACGAACTGTCTGACAGATCGAGCTCATTT